TCATATTGTTGTATTATTTATTTGCATAATTTTCGTGTTCGTCAGAATGTTTCATGGCGTTTCTCATCGGGCAGAATACATTAAGATTTATTTCTCTTTGTTTTATAAATCGTTTTGACTTTTTATTATTGTTGACTTAAAAGTTTAATAAAAGAAAGCTAATGATTTTTCATTTTGTTTTTGGTCGAGGTTAGGCTTAGGATAGAGCTCCGGATTTTGTAACTAGTAAACCTTGTTCTAATTCCTGCAATACTACAAAATATTCCCCGCATTTTAACCTGTGAGTATCTATATAATAATATACTTGTTCGAGTGTCTGTTACGGAAATGACGTGTGCGCGTATGCTTATTTAGATAGTAAATTGTGCGTGCATTACCATGACAGACAAATATTGAGTATTATTACAATAGATTAGCAGAGACCCGCAAGACATTTGCGCTCAGATTATTGCCATCATTTCAACAGTACTTTTGTAAATAAAGGATTTCTAGAATAATACAAAATAATTCTATTCGCAGACACCGAAATACTGTCATATTATAAATCTGCTGTCGGTATGCCTTGTAAGAGTGCACAGTAAGAATATTACCCAGAAAAACAGTGCAAGCGCCTGTCTGCACCAGAGAACTGGAAAGCTCAACAAACAAGTCACTACAACTGCTTTTTGAAAGAAGGAATAACAAAAAAAGGTGAATGTAAATATTATTTATTAACCATATAGCACAATAACATTAAAAGTTTGAAGTTTTCAAAAAGGTCCAACGTTAGGTCCTAGAATAAAGTTATAAGTTTATTTAGTAATATTATTAAGTGCAGTATAGTTTAGTCCTAACTAAGCTAATGGAAAAAACGTACACGATACAGTGTTAATTTATCTCTTTATCAAACTTTGGCCCAACATTAGTTAAGATTATATAAAGTACGACCTAAATACAAGTGGACTTACACATTTCGGTGTCTACAATTACATTTCGTTAGTATTATTCTACAAATATTGTATTTAAAGAAATTCTGTTGCAATAAATTTAAGATACTAATTTGATGACAAACCTTTTGTGGGCCTCTGTTAGTATTATAATAAAGACAGCTTATTATATCCTTAGCATGGATTTTGTGTGGCAGGGTGCCGCTGACTGACTGCCAGTAGTCCAAAATTAGGGCCTGCAGAAGATTATCTCAGTAAATACAAAACTTTATTTTGAGAAGTATAAATATAGCTTCTTCATTTAGACACGTTACAATATTTCGTAAAACAAAATCGATATCCTGAAATTACGTTTAAATGTTTTACGTAAACTTTGTGAGCGTATTTGAACTATGTTTAAGCGTATTTTTATGAAACTTTTATGTTTTTACAAACATTTAATCTGAGATACTTTTTGCGCCTACAGAAGTTTCACACATCAAATCCTGCGTCGAAACAATTGATATAAGACAGAAGTGTCAATATATACAGTAACTCAACGAGAATATAGAAACCTATTGCATTGTTATAATATTAAAGATTTATAAAGGGCAATGCTTAAAATGCTACCGTTATATATATTATAGGTTTGGCACGCTTATTGTTTGTTTGTTTTTAATTACACACAAAGCTACACAAGGGCTATTTATGCTCTACTCACCACGGGTATCGAAACCCGGTTTCTAGCATTGTAAGTCCGCAGACATACCACTGTGCCACTGGGGGGCGGCACGCTTATAAGCTAAGTGTTTACTAACAACGTCCCTTTTTTAATTATACACTTTTAATATACATGTACGATACATTGTTTACATGAGTTATGACACTAAATGTGATCTTCTGTATGACTGCTTCATTTTTATCCCTCTAGTGGCTCAGCGGTAAGTATAAAGGCTTACAATGCTAAATCTGGGTTTCAATACTCGTGATAGGCACAGCACAGATAGCCCATTCTGTAGCTTTGTGCTTAACAACAAACAAACACACATTCTCGTATGTCAGCGTAATTTTGGTGGCTACTATTGACTCATTTTGTGTATCATTTTAACGATCATATTTTATTGCTTCATTCCTATCCCCCTAGTGGATCAACTGTCAGTCTGAAGGCTTATAACGCTAAAAACTGGGTTTTAATACTCATGGTGGGCACAGTACAGATAGCCCATTATATAGCTTTAAGCTTAATAACAAACAAACAATCATTCTCGTATGTCAGCGAATCTTTGGTGGCTAATGTCTACTCATTTCATTTCTATTGTTTCAATGTCTATATTTTGCCCATTAATCAGTTAAGACTGTGTGTTGAGTTTACTTTATGTCATGTTTCTCATGTCGGATGGATAGTAGTAAGGGAATATAGATTTTACTACTAATACCTAATTTTTAGGTTCTTCATCTATGAGTATTTGAAAACGTTTCAAGTCGACTGGTCATTTTTCATTCTCTTATTGTTTATTTGTTTTAGCATAAACCTTGAAAATATGCTATCAGCACTCTGTCTACCAGGGTGAACAAAACTCCGAATTTTAACCTTACCGCTGCTTGCAGAACCTCACTCTCTTTGGCTAATAGTTATTTGAACTTTTCAGTAAGTTCCTGATTTTGTTGCTTTGTCATATTTTATATTGTTTCAGATATTCCTTTTTAATAGTTTCTTGTATAAGTTTTTTTTATATTTCTAACACATATTAGAGAAAAAAACATCTTGAAATAAACGAGACCATTTTATAGAGCAAGAAAAAAATAACGCCAGTCTTCTAGCTTTCAAATCCAAGACGCTCTTATTAAATCGTGAAATATCAGCTGTACATGATGGGAGTTTAAACATTATTAAGAAAAAGTGATAGTGTAGAAAAACTGACCAATCAACCGTTAAGGAAAGTGTGCTGAAATGAGAAAAGTTTGGTAATTGTTGAACTTTACGTAGTGCTGAAGAAGTGAAATTACATTTGAAACAATATGAAGAAAACTAATTAGAAAGTGATGGTAAGAGATGGAAAATTTAATTAAAGGTCTGTTTTCCCAAATGGTCATTCTCTTTACAGCATTAAAGCGGCAGGCTCCCGAAATGTCTTTACTTTCATCGAACTTATGTAATAACAAGAGTTTAATTTTGTATTTCCATCAGCTGTTATAGTTTTCACGGCTTGTATAAAGGTGAACAAGAGTTCGTGTATAATTCATATTAACTTTTGATCATAGCCAACTACCTAAGTAGATCGTAATTGAAAATAAACCCAGTATTGCGTATAGTTAATTAAGTATTCTGCACGTCCTTAATTATATAAATACTAACATGCAAAGACTTATCAGATGAGCATCTTCGCTGTTTACAATAATTTCGTTCGTAATTACAGAAGGTATAGTTTTAAATTAAACATGAAATACGGAGTCTCTCAAAGATCATAGCCTCTTCTACACTCTAATGCATTCCACAATATTCATGTCGCCAACGTTCCAACTAATAGAATTGTAGCCATAAATATCACGAGAAAAATAGTACAGATTTTCTTTTATTCTCACAAATATCAATTACATTAACACTGAGTTGTAAAGTCCTGAATGAAGGCACTGCAGAAGTGTTAATGAGTTAATTATTATGTTGTGTGAAATATATGAGTCAGCAATGATACAGTAATATTGGATAATATAAATAATAATCTAGTCGTTAACACTTTAGCTTGAAAGCAATGCTAACAGTCTAAACTACAGGTATTTAATACACTGATGACCACAGACCTGATTATTAGAGGAATTTATAAAGGAACTCAGGTAAAGAAAGAAAGAAAGAGATAAAATTTAACCTTCCTTTTAAGCAAAACTAGGGGATCAGACTCTGAATTCCAGATTTCACTTTGTAACAATACAAAACACTGAATAATACTAAATGATATTAGAAATGATGAGTATACTGGAATGAGCGGCAACAGCTTGTTGTAGAAAAAACAAATAGGATAAAAGATGAAACATAGTAAAACCAGAATAGATAAAAAGCATGCTTCTATTATACAATTTCTATTCTCGAACACAGGGGTTTTATGTATAATGGAATGTTGAGGACACAGAGAACGAGTTGAATTTCAGAAATACTTTACTTTGTTTGTTCCTAACAGCTTTGTCTACATAAAGTTTGATAAACTCCGACTGAGAAGAGTTTGTTTGTTCGTTTTGAATTTCGCGCAAAGCTACGCGAGGGCTATCTGCGCTAGCCGTCCCTAATTTAGCAGTGTAAGACTA